GAATGAAAATCGCTGAGCGCAATCGGCTACAGAGGACCCCACAAATGATCACTGGACCGCACTAAGCAAACTTGAGTCCCGCCTACCCTGAGAAAGAACCGAGGAATCTCGGCCTCCGCAAACAGCAGAGCTTAACTTGGTCAATACTTGTCTCAGCACAGGAAGAAACCGAAGACAAGTTTTTGCGCCGCCCAACAGCGGTGAAGACCAGATCTCACTTTCCGGTTCCGGCTCGTCGATCCCTTCCGCCTCAGACAAGATGTCTCCTGTTCTTTTTCGCGTCCGCACGGGATTTCGGCTTGGGAAAAAGTGCCAGTGTAGGAGTAAGCGCGACAACGGCCGGATTCTACCCTCCTGCCTGTAAGCCGAGAGAAACCGAGACCTCACGCTTCCCTACGCGGAGACGGACTCGGGGAGGGCGAGGATAAGGCACCAATTCCGGAATTTGAGGGCTTTGTTTCCGAGGGGGAGTGTTACGGAGACGCACCGAGGCCCGGGAGGCGGTGAGTTCGCCTAGTTTACTAGCAGTCCGGCCTGGGAGCGGGGGGCGGGGGGGCCCAAGCCAGGGCAGTGTCTGTCGTTCCCTCAGCGGATATTTGTTAACACCCTACAGAGGCCAGCCCCTGGGAATGCAGGACGGAATGGCAGAATTGTCAGCCTCTCCCCTCAGAAAATGTAGCTAATAGAGCCGGGCGCGGTGCTCACGCTTGTGAATCTAGCACTTTGGGAGGCCGAGGCAGGTGGATCCCATGAGCTCAAGAGTTCGAGACCGGTTTGAGTAAGAGCTTGCTCCCAGACCTCTCCCCTCCCCGTCTCTATTTAAAAAAAAAAAAAAAGTTAAAAAAGAAAAAGGAAAACTAGCCTGGCATTATGCGGGCTCCTGTAGTCTAGCTCCTCGGGATGCTGAAGCAAGAGGATTACGAGCCCAAGAGATTGAGGTTGCTGTGAGCTACGATGGCGCTACCCGGAGTGACAAAGTGAGACTGTTTCAAAAAAAAAGAAAGAAAGAAAGAAAGAAAATATAGTTAATGAGCAAACAAAACTGATAGGCCAATGCTTCATTTTAGTTGGGATCATTAGAACTTTGGAGGAGGTAGTCGCGTGGCCCAGGATGCTCTAGTAAACAGATTTCAAATGGAGTTGAACGGAGGGAGGAACGAAAGCCTGCCAGAGATGAGGGAAGAAAGTCAGAGAATCTACCAGTTGGAAAGGGCAGAGTCGGAGAGAAAGCTTGGGAAAGCTGAGAGGACCTTGCGGCAGTAGTAAAAGAGGCACGCAGGGCCCAAACCTTAAGCTACGGAACACGGCAACACAATTTAGAGCTTTATCCTAAGAGCAAAAGAACAAGATTTGGGGAATCTCAGGTTTTGGACCAAATGCAGCCTTCTGGATTCTTGAGTGTAGTCTTTTGGCTGAATCCAAATTTTACAGAACAAATCCTTTTTTGTTTGTTTGTTTGTTTTGAGACAGAGCCTCAAGCTGTCCCCCTGGGTAGAGTGCTGTGGCATCAAAGCTCACAGCAACCTCCAACTCCTGGGCTCAAGCGAGTCTCCTGCCTCAGCCTCCCAAGTAGCTGGGACACAGGCGCCCACCACAACACCCAGCTGTTTTTTGGTTGTAGTTGTCATTGTTTGCCAGGTCCGGATTGGGTTTGAACCCTCCAGCTCTGGTGTATGTGGCTGGTGTATGTGGTATACAGGGGCCAAACCTGATTCAAATTGTTTTAAAGATCAAATTTTTGGCTCCATCTGGTGGCTAACCTCTGTAATCCTAGCACTTTGGGAGGTGAAAGCAGGAGGATCACTGGAGACCAGGAGTTCTAGACCAGCCTGAACAGTTGCAGGAGGGTGCAAAATAGAGAGGCTTCCATCTCTACACAAAATAAAAATTTAGCCAGATCTGGTGGTAAGTACCTGTAATCCCAGCTACTTGAGAGATTGAAGTGGGAGGATCACTTGAGCCTGGGAGTTTGAGATTGCAGTGAGCAATGATTGCGTTGCCATACTCTACCTAGGAAGCAGAACAAGGCTCTGTCTCAAAAAAAAATTCAAATTTTTAATTTTTGCAGTACTCAAATTTGTCTGTTCAAGGATATAATTTAAGTTATGTCTTTGCCATTGTTGTTTTTGAGACAGAGTTTAACTCTTCTACCCAGGCTGGAGTGTAGGAATACAGTGATGTGATCACAGGTCACTGCAACATTAAACTGATAGGCTGAGTGATTTTCCTGTCCCAGTCTCCTAAATAGCTGGGATTACAGGTGCCCATCAGGTAATCTTTGAAAATATTTTTGTAGAGACAGTACCTTACTATGCTGCCCTAGCTGATCTCAAACTCCTGGCTTCAAGCTATCCCCCTGCCTGGGCCTCCCAAGTGCTTGGATTATAGATGTGAGCCACCACAATTGACCACTAGTTATTCAAATTGTCTCTTATGCTGCTTTTATGTCTCTATACCCCTGTTCTTCCCTTGTTAAGCTCATTTAAGGAAGGGCCAGTGCTATCGATTAATAATTATACCTCTCTGCTTAATGTCCATGTATAGAATGAAATCTTTGCATCAAGTGTGACCCTTTATTCTTTAAAATTATTTATTTATTTATTTTGAGACAGAGTCTTACTTTGTTGCCCTTGGTAGAGTGTTGTGGCATCTTAGCTCACAGCAACCTCAAACTCTTAGGCTTAAACAATTCTCTTGCCTCAGCCTCCCAAGTAGCTATTTTTAGTTGGGCTATTTTTAGAGACAGGATCTTGCTCTTTCTCAGGCTGGTCTCGAACCTGTGAGCTCAGGCAATCAACCTGCCTCGGCCTCCCAGGGTCCTAGGATTACAGGGATGAGCCACTGCTCCCTGCCTTAAAATTATTTTCTTCCTTAATACACAGTGTCCCAAAGGTCGCCATAAATAGGGAAATTAACAAACTCTTATTATATTTTGTGTATTTT